ATAGATTCTCTTGGTGCTATAAATGATGTCTTTTAAATAATACAACAATATTGTCCCAATTTAATTCCTTTGGAGCTGAGCTTGACTTCACTAGGGTCTTTATCAAGGGATATTTGAAAGTGAAATATGAAGAAAATGGCCCTTAAATAAGATTCTAATATGTTCCAGCAATTTAATGCTATTCCTTTCCTTGTTATTAAACTTCATCGATCAGATCAAGATCTCAGTTCAAATATTAAAAACTATAGTTTATAAAACAAGTCTATCACTTGTCCACATAGTGGGTGTCTGAATGTTGCTACGTGTGAAAGCTCACAGATTTTAAATTCATGATACCGACACTAGTCGGTTTAAGAACAAATCAATATTTTGGTATGTCTAATTCCCAATTTCTGGGGGTCCTACACTGCAAATAATAGTGCTAGCTGCTCTCAATTTAAGTGAATATAATTTTTTAATTAGCACAAAGCAATGATTTATTGGGAATCTTTTACACTTTTTTTGAACAAATCTGCTTCTGGGGTCTAATCATTTTGGCACTATAATACGTGAGATTTGGATTCATTTTACCATTTAGGGTGCATGGACCTAGGCATTGCTTTAAGTTTTTCCCTTCTTTTAAATGAATAGTTAATAATATAAAGCATACTACAAGCCATGGCCCCATTAATATATAGTATATTCCTACACATTCCAGAGAATATGTCAGTCAGGACTAGATTTATTTACGATGGAAGACTAAGTTAAGGCTACAGACAGTGAAATTGACTTCCTAAGATTTCATGATAAGATAATTTTTAAAGCTAAATTACATTTTTAAGTTCCTCTATTTTTATTAATATTTTTTATTTTTATTTTAAAATAAAAATATTTGGTCTTTTTAATTTTAAAAATATAAAGTTTTAATATTTTTATTAAATTGACATTTATTAATTATTAAATTTTAGGTTAAAACTCTTATTTGGTCCCTGATAACATTTTTTTGTTTCAATTTAGTCGCATTTTAATTTTTGATTTCAATTTGGTCCCCAATAATTTAAATTATTGCAATTTGGGACTTTCGTCCAAATGATTTAAACGGAGTTAATTGTTGGTCACGTGGATGCCAGGTGGATGTCACGTAGATGCATACGTGGCTGTCAAATTTCATGAATACACATGGAACTAGAACGGGCCGTTCTGATTGGTTATGTGTTAATTTTGCCACTGGAACAGACCGTTCTAAATGCAAATTTAACACACCATGAGTGCACCAGAATGGGCCGTTCTGAAACCAGAATGGGTCGTTCTGGTGTTAGAACGGGCTGTTCTGGATTCAGAACGGCCCGTTCCAGAACGCCAACTTCGTTTTTCAAGATGTAATTCAAAAATTGAAATTAAAAATTCATAACATATCATAAATTCAAAGACAGAAACATGGTTTAGAAACTGAAAACAAAAATTCAGAACATAACATATACTAAAAAAGTTCAAAGAAATTACTGAGAAAGGAAATCATCTGGGTAACACAGAAAGGAAACTCTAAACCACAAAAATTCAGGTTGTACCTCTTCAAGAACAGGTTGTTATTGTTGGGGTAGATCGTCAATGACTTCAAGGGGAAACATTGTTTCGTTTCATCCTTGACTGAATAGTATCAATAAGTGATTCACTCCAGTTTGACTAACAATGAAATAAAACCTGCTACCATTGTCCTTAGTGATACACTGCATCGTCTTTAATGATATACTGTATAGTCCAAATGTTTAACAATTGAAGTTACCAAATCTAGTGTTTAAAATGCTTTGTACCTTTAGTCTTTTTTCGTGCACGATTTACAACCGTGAACTATAATTAGCGACCATTCTGGAACCAGAACGGCCCGTTCTGGTTCCAGGTGTACTCAAGAAATTTGGCATCACCTACATGGCATCTACGTAGCATCCACCTAGCATCCACGTGGCCAACAGTTAACTCCGTTTAAATCATTTGGATAGAAGTCCCAAATTGCAATAATTTAAATTATTGAGGACCAAATTGAAACAAAAAATTAAAGTGAGACTAAATTGAAACAAAAAAATGTTATCAGGGACCAAATAAGAGTTTTAACCTAAATTTTAATATTCTCATCTTTTAAATGTAACATTTAATAATATGATATTTAAAAATAAAAACATATATAAATAAGATTTTTATTAATAAAATAAATTTTAATCGCTTATAAAAATAGATAAATCTTTTGTATATTATTTTTTTTTATTTTTATATATCATATCAATAAATATCACATTACTTAAATAGTAATAAGTTATCAAATAAAATCAAAATTTAACAATTAATAAATATAAAAAAATTAAATATCATTATTTTAAAATAATAAAAAAATCATAATTAAAATTTTTTATTCAAAATAGAGAAATAAAAATATAATATTTTTTAATTATTTATTGCAAGAATAAATTACATAAATAGTTATACATATTTTTGTGAAATTATACCAACATTCTCTAATCATTCTATGCACTTGCACCTACAATAATTTTTGTTCAAAAAATATTACATTAATATTTTTATACATTACTTTAATTTTTTTTAATCATTTTAAAAATATTACACTATAACTTTATATAGGAAAATTAATGTTAATGGTAAAATAACAGAAAAATGTTGGTGCAATTTTACGAAATCTCATAAAATTTGAATATAATTTAGTTATATTATAAAAGTTTAAATATGTTTTAAGTTTATTAAATTTAGCATAAATTTATTTTTCTCTCTCAAATTGAAAATGTTTTTTTTAGTTCTTGTAAAAAAAAAAAAATCTTGATTTAATCCCTGTCATAAGTAATATATATGACAATGACATATTAAGACAATCATAAAGCATCAACTAGGTTACTAATTAAGAATACTAGTAGGTTGAATTTTATTTTTTTTGTAATATTTCATAAATTTAACAATAAAATTTGGTCATAAAGATTAAAATAATATTTTTTAAAAATTACTGAGACAAAAAAATCAATTTTATGTATAAGAATCAAACATATCATTTTGAGTAAACTATACTTGCACCTCTTGCATTTTTCTAAAATTACATCCAATACTCTTTCATTATTTGGATTATAGTGAGATCCTTCAAAATTGAAAAGATATCACACTCTCCTGTGTTTTCTCTCTCTTAATTAAATTAACTAAAAAATCAAAACTAAGAACAAGAGTAGGGGTTATAGTCTCAACTCCAACCACCAACTCCTTCTTCCGTCACATCTTCAATATTTTACAATGGTGGTTTGAATGTAATTCGCCTGTGAATGTTGGACTATAAGCAGACATGTATTCGAGCAAGAGGCGACTCGACTTGAAACAGACTGCAAGCATTGTAGAGCGTTTTTGGACTGAGCGATCCAGTTTGTCATTAGGGAGTTTTCTACGCACCACAATGACTATAGCTTTGCGGCATGAGGAGATTTTTTTTTCTTAGGCTTGTTGGGCTTAGGCTACGAACAAATGTGGTCAAGACTTTGAGAACAATTGATGTATATGAGTAAGGTGCTAAAGGAGGAGGAAGAGGTGGTGGTAGAATTTGATGAAAGCTTGTGAAGGAAGGGGAATTCATGAATGTGAGTATAATATCTTTTCAATTTTTAAGGGATTTCATTCTAGATCTAAATAACCAAAGGGTATTGAGTGTAATTTTGAAAAAAAAAATATAGGGGTGCAAATGTAATTTATTCTACTATACATAATAATTGTGATTGAATGTGTAAAACTTGTTTAGACAGACAAGGTATAACCTAGTTTACACTCACCATGTATAGCTCAAACTATTTAAGAAATAGATATAGAAGTGCATCACTTTTTTTAAAACTTTTCAGAGGAAACCTATTGTAATGTTTCAAGCTGAATCTATGCAGCAATGTCTTTGATCCTACGCAGCTTGCTTGCATAATGATTTGTAATAATGAAGCAAACATATCAAATATAATGCCTAGCTAAAACTTTAAGAGTCAAGGAATAAGAGAAACATACAAGTACAACACCACCCGTGAAAGGGTAAATCCAACGATAGAACAGAAGGGGAGACAGAGCAATATAATTCAGCTGAAATCACGGTCTCAGTTAGCAGCACTGCTAGCTTTGTCTTCTTGCAAGGAATTAATTACCCGAGAATAATAGGTCATAAAAACTATTCTCTGTTGCAGTTAAAACCTGAGGAGAAATCAATCATGGATTTTCTGAAAAAGTATTTGAATAGTCCTATCTATGGTGTGCAATTGCATTATGGTACTTCCACGCCCCCACACTTGGACCATTGTTACTTGCCATGACAACCAAAGAGCACTTCATTTTGGGTTGTGAAAGACACAACACTTTTTCTCACCCCATAACTTGTCAATTATGTATGTCTTTATTAGTTTTACATTCTAGCATCCCCGACATTGCAAAATCAAATACACACTATTATTAAGCATTTATTTATCATAGCTCGTTGATTAGTTCCCAATTAGACATCCTATGTGAGCCCAAATAATTCTGCATCACTGGAAAGCATACTAAAAGGCACCTATGCAATCTTCTTCCATTATTATATCCTCCCACCTACCCTTTTCTTGGCCAATTGATAAAATTGGTGTAAAATAAAATTAGAAACAAACTACTAAAATAGGATTATTTAGAAGGAAAAAATTGTTGAAGTAGAGTTGTTTTTATTATATCATATCAAAATTAGACATATGATAACTTTATGACTTAGCTATATTTCTATAAAATGTTTTCAAACAATTCCATTTTTTTTTATATTTATTTTACATCAATTTGATCAATCAACCCTAATCTTTAGAGCAAAACTCTTGCAATATTCAACCATTTTACACTAAATACATGTCCAACATAACATCATAGTATATATATAGTGGAAGGTGCAATTCCCATGTTGAATTTGTGATACAGGAAATAGGCATATAGTAGGCTACAAAACCAAATGGAGTACAGTCTGTTATCTCCCACTTACTTCACTTCTACATAACTCTACATATCACCCCCACAACGTTAATACCACTGAGTGACCCATACCCCCTTCCTCACCCACAAATCCAAAAAAATCTTTTGCCCCCAAAATACTAAAAACAATTAAAAAGTTTCCAATGTTAGTTTTTTCTTTTACTATATATAGAGTAGTGAGGACTCCATAGTGAAGGCACCAAAATCCAACCACATCAATAGCAATGAAAGGCACACTCTCACTCTCTCCTTTACTCATTTTCCTTCTCTTCTCCCTAGTCCAAGGGCTCAACCCCAAATGTGACACCCAAGACCATGGCTCAACCTTGCAAGTTTTCCATGTGTTTAGCCCATGTTCCCCATTTAGGCCATCAAAGGCACTTTCATGGGCAGAGAGTGTCCTCCAACTTCAAGCCAAGGACCAAGCCAGGTTGCAGTTTCTGGCTAGCATGGTGGCTGGGAGGTCAATTGTGCCCATTGCCTCAGGGAGACAGATTATACAGAGCCCAACTTATATTGTGAGAGCCAAAATAGGTACTCCTCCTCAAACCTTGCTCATGGCCATGGACACTAGTAATGATGCTGCTTGGATTCCTTGCACTGCCTGTGATGGCTGCACATCAACCCTCTTTGCTCCTGAAAAGTCCACCACATTCAAGAATGTTAGCTGTGGTTCTTCAGTGTGCAACCAGGTTATAAACTTTACTTAACATAAAATTTTTTAATCATGTAATTATTACGAAATATTTATAAACTTTATTAATGATTAAACTTTATTTAAAAATTTGGCCCAATATTTTTTAGTAAAATTTTATTTTTTAATCTACGAACTTAAATTTGAGAATAATTAAAAAAAAAAAAAAACTGAGTCGATTTCTCTCGAAACTAATGACTTATTGATATTTGACATCATTTTCACAAACTCTGTTTGAAGGGTAATTTTGATAAATAAATAAAAAAATAACTAATCATCTTTAGTAGGATTTTATCCTTCAATTATGTTTCTCTATGAATGTGACTCGAATTTAGACTTTACTTAAAAGAAATTTACTAGAACTTGTTAATACTTGAAACCATTTTCTAAATCCTTTCCATTTTGTGTAATCTTTTGTGAAATCATGAATAGCAAGAAACCAAACATTATGATGTCACGTAGATATGACTTTTGAGCCCATTTTTTGCTGTCTCCTTTATTCTTTATCGGGTTAAAACGGATTGCACTCATGAGTCATGGCTTCTATGACTAGGAGGAAAAACCAAAAACCAAAAAACAAAAACATCGTGCCAAGATCCAAACTCATTACCCTATTTTCTGGTGTGATGATTGATTAACTTATAATTATTGCCTAATATTACTTGTTCCAATACTTTATTAGTAAACTGTCTTTAATGGGAATGTTTAAAAATTAAAATATCCAATCCAACATCGTTACTTGATAATTTTTTGTAGAGTTTCATTATACACAACTTTAGATACTGTTTCCATATTGAGTTTGATGTGAAAACTTATTTAGTATACTCAAACAGGACTAATGGAATGGAACTATGTATAATTAAAATTGAGAAATATTTTTTTCAACATACCGCATTTTGGTTTTCTTTTCTTATCACGTGATATCTACATTTCTCCATCTCTTATTACTAGCATCTCAAGGCTAGTATAGCGTATGATTCATGTACTATTTTTCATTCAAATCATAAGATTTGTGCAAGTAATATTTTATTTAAAAACTGAATAAGAATCATGTGAACTCAAGTCTAAGTCCACTACAGTACAATTAATCGTGAATGTCTTTCTTGAGTGCAGTACATAAAAAATTTGTGATAATTGATAAACAATACCTAGGATTTCTTTCAGATGGGCCAGATTGATTTTTTGGCACTAGTCTTTTTCTTTTTTCTTGACGTGGAAGGAGGGTAATTTCACATAGAACGAGAGATTCCAATGATAACCCCAAGCGTGGTTTAACGGTAGGGATTGATCCACGCTTAAGCAAGATCTCCTGCCTTGAATATATAACCGCCTTAAATATTAAGGTAAGCTACCTCCAACGTAGACTCCAATGATTCTCTTAGCTATCATCACATCACATTCACATAGAAACATGCATTCCCTTGTCCCATTTTGCAGTGGGGTTGACTCCCTGGCCTATTTCCGAATCCAAAATGTAGAAAACTACGTGACCCTGTGAAGTCTTTCACAGGCAAGGGTTCACGAGACTTGTTTTGTTGTTTCTAAAGTAACTTTTTTCTAATGTGGTGATTGTGTCTGTGTGATGTGAACATTTTTTTTCAGGTACCCAACCCCAGTTGCGGAACCAGCGCGTGCACCTTCAACTTGACCTATGGTGGCTCCACCATAGCGGCTAATGTGGTCCAAGACACGGTTACCCTCGCCACTGACCCTGTTCCTGGCTACACTTTTGGGTGCGTTGCAAAGACCACTGGGTCCTCTGCTCCACCACAGGGTCTGTTGGGCTTGGGCCGAGGCCCATTGTCGCTGTTGTCCCAGACCCAAAACCTCTACCAGTCCACATTCTCTTACTGTTTGCCCAGCTTCAAATCGCTTAACTTCTCTGGGTCACTTAGACTTGGGCCTATTGCACAGCCCAAAAGGATCAAGTTTACCCCTCTTCTCAAGAATCCTAGAAGATCATCACTCTATTATGTTAACTTGGTTGCAATCAGGGTTGGCCGGAGAATCGTCGATATTCCTCCGGCGGCTTTGGCCTTCAATCCGACCACCGGCGCCGGCACCATCTTTGATTCCGGTATGCTTTCTTACCTAGACATTCAAAATATTGCACTCTATGTTATAAAATTAAAACCTAGTTAGAAATTAGAATATTTACTTTAAATAATTAGAAACTTGGTAAGTGGTAACACTACTTTTAGAAGTTTATCATGCTTTTGAACAAAGTAGAAATTTTAGTACGTTCTATGACATGGTCATACGAATTACTTTCCTTGTGAATCGGTGAGTTTATTATTATTATATATTTTTTTAAGTTTACTTATTTCCCATTTTAGCCGCAAAACATGTAGTGTGGTGTCTTGTCTATGTCCCAATTTTCAACATGGAAGTCCAATTGAAAGTCTATGGTCTAATTAGCCGAAAGGAAAGGCATGAAATCAGCAAAATTTAAACGAATTTTGAGTCAAAATGTTACACGTGATTGGAACATTCATCACTCCGACACCATGCCCCGCATACCATTTTTGAAAAAACATCTCGATTGGAAGCAACAAAATTGATTAGATTCATATTCTTTCCTATCATTTTTATAAAAATTATGTAATTAATTATAATTAAAAGTTGATTAATTTTGTTAATAGCATAAACTTTATTTTAAATTTATATTCTTCTTCAAAATTACTCTAAATATTAATAATATAGAAAAAATAAAGACACTTTTAATTTGATCGATCTTATAAAGAGGAGAGGAGGGAGCACAAAAAGAAAATAATCATTCAACAAGAACAAAAAACGTAAGATAACTATAATACTAAGAATCTAACTGCAATGCACTGAATATATATATATATATATATA